AGCTGACAAAGAGGACACAAAGACTGCAGGACTACAAAGTAATATGACAAAGATAATGAGGGGAAAGCATGGAGAAAAATGACATGATTTGCATCTTTCTTTTTCTCTTTTTTTTATACAAATAATACAGAGCGACTCGAACGCCTCCCACACATCACAAACCAACATCCTGGAATATTTGTGTTGTCCCTATACTCACAGGCATAGCATGAAATCTGACTCAGCATGCAGAAACATGTCCTGCCATCATGTCTTGCTTTTAAAAATGCGTAAGGATGTGTGTATAGACACAACATGGTGCCTGTTTTTTTTTTCTTTTCTTTTTCCTGACTGCTCAGTTCTAACAAAGTCAGCTCAAAGCAGCCAATGGCAGCTCTTCATCAGTTTCAGTTCCTGCAATATACCAACATCCACGTGAATCGAGAGGAAAATTATGAATTAAATGGCTGCCATAGGTTCGTGTTTTTACTTGAATGCCTAAAATCGTTTGTATCCAACCAAAAAAAGTAGAAAATGTCTGAAATGAATGTGTAAATCTGCAGGTGAAGCTGACTCTGTCCTCATACAAGGATGCTTAAGACACTCAGGATGCACAAATGGATGGATGGATGAAGCGGTAGAGAGAGAGAAGTTAAACTGTTAGTGGGCCTGGACAGTTCTGTAGAAACGCGACGGAGGGTTGGAGAGGGCGAGGAGGAGGAAGAGGAGGAGGAGGAGGAGGAAGGGCTAGGGCTGGAGGACGCGGTGTGTTGTGGGACTTCAGCAGCAGCCGCCTCCGGCATGTTGGCCTCCCTGGCTACTGGACAGTGTGGAGTTGGTGGTGGGATGCTGGGGTCCAATCTTAATACCATTAGCCTGTGTGGAGAGAGAGAAACACAGGGGAAAATAAAAATTAAAACATGTACAAACAGTTCCTTGATAAAATAAGGAAGTAAGGAATATTTGTGACGTAGAGGACATTTTCTGAAACTGATATGAGCTCAAACTTTGATGGGGAAAAAAAAAAGTAATTTGATGAAAAAAATGCGCTTTAAAACTTTGATGTAAGCTTATTAAGCCGTTTCCCACTGAAGGTTGAACCTCCCACCAGAGCTCAAGTCTTCTGCAGCCTCCAACATGTTCTCTTCCAGCGCTGTTCTGTATTCAGCTCCATGTTCATGTTCCCATTAACTTTGACCAGATTCCCTTTTCCCAGCTGAAGGAAAGGATCCCTGCATATCATTTCACACCGACAGATGTATTACATTTCTTTATGCAAATTATTTTTTGTCAAATCTCGAAAAAAAAAAAAAAAAAAAAAAAAAAAAAAAAAAAAAAGGGTTTGGAAAAAAAAAAAGAAGGGGGTTTTTTTTTTTTTTTTTAAAAATAA